ATGTATCGGCAGAGGTTTGAAGAATTTGTTAATTATTATTTCGTGTATCAATTACATATAAATATTAATTTTTTATCCTAATGTTTTAATTTAGATATGTATATTAAAATTTTAATTTATTAAAAATATCTTATGTTAGTATTTTGTTATTCTGTAAATATAGTTCATTTAGTTTATAATTTATAAAGTAGATTAATTTATATTATAATTATTATTTTGTGGAATTTTTAGTTACAAATATGAAATATTTATATATAAATGTTATAGAAGTATATTTCTTATTCTATGAATCAAAATGAGTTAATACTCATTTGTAATTTAATTTAATATTATTTTAAGTTTTATATTAAAATAATCTTAAAACAATAAATATTTACTTTTAAAATAAAATACATTAAAGATTTTGTTAAAATGTAATCTGAAAAGTTGTTAATAGTATATTTTTGATATCTTACTTTAAATATATTTAAATATTATATTAATATCATGTGTTTTTCTAATAATAACTAAGTTTGTTGTATGTAACATAACATAAAATTAAATAAATGTAATGTTTTAATCTAGACTACTAGCAAGTCGATAAAATGTGTTTTTGTTTTAATAGTATTGACTAGATTTTGATTCGCGCTTTTAAAGCGTGGGATTATTTCCAAAACAAACCAAATTTATATGATATAAATTTGCATATTTGAATATGTATCTACATTTAAATGTTACACATGATCGTTATATTCAGTGTTTTGAAACACGATCCGGATCCGTGGTTAAACCGACATAACCGATAATATTATATGTAAACAGTTTGACTTTTTTTAAAAGCTGTATTTAATATTCTATAAAACCCACAAAAACCCCACTAAAACTTCGGACTCTGCTAGCGGTTCAAAGCGCATGATTATTTTCGAAACAAATCAAATTTATATGATTTAAATTTGTATTTTTGATTATGTATCTACATTTAAATATTAAATATGAAGTGTTATATTCAGTATGTGAAACACGATCCGGACCCGTAATTAAACCGACAAAATGATGACTTTATATATAACCCAATTTGGTTTTAAAAAGAAAACTCGTTATTTAAAATTCTATAAACCAAATTTATATGATATATATTTTTATATTTGAATATGTATCTACATTTAAATGTTACACATGAAGCGTTATATTCAGTGTTCTGAAACACGATCTGGACCCGTGGTTAAACCGAAAAAAATCGATGATTTTATATGTAATCTGGTTTGTTTGTTTTAAAAGTTCATTATTTTAAAATTATATAAAACCCGCAAAAATCTCGAAAAAACTTTAGACTCGGCTACGGTTCAAAGCACGTGATTATTTCCAAAACAAACAAAATTTATATGAAATAAATTTGTATTTTTGTTTATGTATTTACATATAAATGTTAAACATGATGCGTTATATTTAGTGTTCTGAAACTCGATTCGGACCGTAGTTAAACCAATAAAACTGATGATTTTATATGTAATCCGGTTTGGATATAAAATAAAAAACTCATCATTTAAAAATTCGATAAAACCGCAAAAAACGTTAAAATCTGAATATAACTTGTTAAGTTACTTTATATTTATTATTTGGTGTAGTAATTTAATTATGAATATAAATTATGTATATAAATTTATTTCTTATTATATAAATGAAAAATGAATTGGTATTCGTTTTTAACTATAGTTAATATTAATTATGAATATTATTATTTAAGCATAAATATTAAAAATACATGTATAGATAAATTTAAATAAAAGATATTAAAAATATTATTAAAATCTAATCTTAGGAAAAGATACTTAAAGAATATCTTTTTGGATATTTTATTGTGAAAATATTAAAATAATTGGTTAAACATAATATACATTTAAATGATAATTAAGTTAGTTATAGGAGAATAAAAAAGAAATTAAATAAATGTAATAGTCCAACATAGATTACTTGCAAGTAGATAAAATGTGTTCTTGTGTTTAATAGTATTGATTTCACCAACAAATATTTATCCATGAATTTCAAAAATATTTTTGTGTTTTTTTCCCACATATTAAAACACATCAAATTGTATTAAATATATATTTAAAATATGATCATAAATTTTCAATAAAATTAAACCAAAACTTACCTTCATCTCACTGAAAAACCTTCACTTTCTATTTTTCTATCGTCGCTGGTCTCTTGACAATTTAACCCTTGTTTTTCTTCTCATAATATTAAATTTAACTTGAAAGATTACAAGATGGAAAGCGACGGTGGGATACAACTGCCGGCGAACTACAGAGATTGAGAATCTAACATATCCTAAACAATAATCAATAATCTGGAAATAATATCCTTCTATTAGTTTGAAAACATACGGCTATAAATATATTTATACATTCAACCAAAAAAGGTTGTGGACTTATAGTTAGTCGTATAGCCCATTGTATGTTTACTGTTGGAATTACCGTGCGTCTTTAAAAAGTGAGAGTAGGCCCATTATAGTCCCATTTCATAGCCATGGGTTATGCTTTGTATAGACTTGAAAACATGTTATGACATGATATATCAATTTGCACAAAAACATGACACTTAGATTAAAATGGAAATTAACACATTTCCTAAAACCATCGGAAAGTTTATTCTGCACAACCGAAATATTTACAAGGAAAATGTTTAACAGCGGTTAACTGCATGTAGCAATTGAGAATATAATTGTTTTAATCATTGGAATAAGAATTGGGAAGAGTGAACGAATCAGTTGACAGATTTACATGAATACCATTTAAATAATCTACATATCTATGTGAATATTATTTAATACCTTTTTTTTTTTTTGAACACAAAATATTATTTAATACCTATTGAGTATAATATTTATGTAAATAATAATGAGAATTTGGCCAAAAAAAGCACGAACTTTACACAAATTGCCAAAAGAAACCTGGACATATTGGCTGGCCAAAAGAAACCTGTACTTTTCTTGACTTTGTTTGTTTATTAAGAAACTTACGGTTGACTTACCATTTTAACACACCGTTAATCCAGTTAACAGATAATTTAGACGCCGTTAAGTCGACGTTAATCTTGACGTCAAGTAATAAAACGACGTCGTTTTAGGTAGCTTTCTTATTAAAAAAATAGTGCTTCTCCCGCGACTCGAACCCATGAAATCATAGTTAATGGGAGGGGGTTAGCCACTGAGCTAGAGGACTTTACAATGTATTGACAAACATAATTCATTTTAACATATATCCTAAGTTCTTAATAAAACATATACTTTTATTTGGTACTAATTAAATATAATTTTTTTTGTAAAAACTTAAAAAGATTTTTAAATTTCGAAAATTGAAAAAATAAAGATTTTTTATAAATTTAATTTTGAAATTAAAATTAAAATAAAATTTTATTTTTATTCAAAAAATCAAAAATCAAAAATCTTGCAAAGTTTTCATTTTTTTAATTCCAAAAAGTTTAAAAATTCAAAGAAAATTCAAAATTTTCATTTAAAAAAACGATTGCTTAAAAATTATAATTAATTATACACACATAAAATATATCTACATATTAAAATAAATTAAAATGCTTAAAATAAATATTGTTTAAATTTTTATCTAATACTTGTAACTTTAATTTTTTTTTTCTATTTTCTTTGAATTTTTATTTTTTTGGAATTTAAAAACAAAAACTGAAAATTTCGGAAGATTTATGATTTTAAGAAAAAAAAAATTTTATTTTGAATTTTAACTTAATTTTATAAAATAATTTCTTTATTTTTCATTTTTTTGCAATTTTAAAGATCTTTTTAACTTTTTAGAGAGTTTTTATATTCAATCACTATTAAATAAAACTAAATGTGTTAGTAAATCCATTAAAAGCGCCACTAGTCTAGTGGCAAAATACCTAACCATTTGGTTCAACCAACCCGAGTTCGAATTCAAGGGTCTACATATTTTATTTTCAAATTATGTAAAACGACGTCGTTTTATCTCATTTGAAAACGACGTCGTTTTAGGTAACGCCAACATTTAACGTCGGTTTAACACGGTTTTAACGGCTTGTTAACGGCGTGTTAAAATGGCGAGTCAATCGTAAGTTTCTTGATAATTTAAAAAAGTCAACAAAAGTATAGGTTTCTTTTGGCCAGGCTAGAGTACATGTTTCTTTTGGCAATTCGTGCAAAGTTCGTGTTTTTTTTGGCCGAATTCTCAAATAATAATGTATGTATGTAACTTTTGGTTAAAAGAATACGAAAAGGCGAGGAGCACGGCATTGGTCGGTCAGGTGAGATGGGGTCCTTTCTACTGCTCCAGTCAGTCTACTACCACAAGAAACCACAGAAACCAAAACTCAAAAAGCAACACAAATTTTCAACTATTATACAAGCAAAGTTGTCGTCTTATTAAAAACTTTTAATTTATTTTTGGCTCTCCTATGTATTTAGGATTTTTTGCGTAAGTATTTGATATTTTAAATGTTATTTTTACGTCAAAATTAATTATACATCCTGCTCTTTCTTTTGTACCCACGTAATATCTTTTTCACCTGATTCTTGTTTTATTGGACACTTGTTCAATATACGTATCATATATACACATACACATTTAATAGAGTCTGACTCCCGTTAAACTATAAATCAAAACTTTATTTAAAAGGTTATATAAAATATGGAGGTCCCGGAAAATATTTTTTTCTTCTTTAAACACCCTTTACCCAAAGTTTAACAAAAATAAAATAAAATACCAACTCTTTATCCATATCTTTGATGATGTGATGATACCATATAATATATAACAGATTTGCATCCATGTCAAGTCACATATGACGCTTACGTGCATATATATCCGTGCGCGTAGTATAGTTTAGGAAAATTTATTTTCTTTTCAAAGGGGTGCCACTTTCCTTTTTCCTCTCTACTTACAAAGATCTTCTTCTACACATCAATAAACAGAGAGATAGAAAGAGAAAGTCTCATTGTTTCTCCTGTAAACTGCGAGCCCATCTTGTGACTGAAAATGGTGTTGTGCAGCAAAATGTCAAGCTGTCTAGTGATGTTGCTAATTCTTAATTCGACCCATTTCAGTCTAAAGGCTAATGGTAAATGGGTCAATGTCACATTTCCATGTTTTGAATTTTTTTTTCCAAAATCTTAATTCTTTTACTTTTTATGACATTTTCAGGTAGACCAGAGCCAAACTCGCGTGAATTCAATAAGGTACAGTTCTTTAACCTCCTGTTTTTATTTTCGTCCAGTTATGTTGATTTTTAAAATGTCACTAACTTTTGACAGAGAGGAGATCAAGATCAGAAGATGATGATGAGAGGTTTAATTGGATCAAGTCCACCAAGATGTGAGAGAGTGAGGTGTCGTTCGTGTGGTCACTGTGAAGCAATTCAAGTTCCTACTAATCATCAAACAAAGCTTCACTCTCCTTCTTCTTCTTCGTCCTCTGAGATTATTAATCTTGGTTACACCAGAGGAGAAGACACGACTAATTATAAACCCATGAGCTGGAAATGCAAATGTGGTAACTCTATCTATAACCCTTGAGGAAATTTATTTGCTTCTTTATCCACAATTTCTTTGTTTTTGGGTTAAGTTATAAAATCAGCTGTGTCTTGACTTTATCGACAATTTCTTCTCTTTGTTTTTGGATTAAATCTAAAATCTGTGTACATATACATGTTTTAGTTTCTGATAATTATGCGTTATTTTGATTCTGATGATGTTTTATTATAGTGTTTAATACAGACAGAGATTAATAACTTGTTGCGTTATTCATAAAATAATTTGCTACTTTTTTTTTGCCAACCTAATTTGTTACTATTATTTCAGAAAATTATTATGGATTTTGATTTTACAAATAGTGCAAATAAACTTCTAAAAATCGACAAGTGATTTACTGTATTAGTATAATTAAAAGAACACGCATCGTAAACAAACCGCACGGAAATCTATTTCATGACGATTCTGACAAATACCAATTTTATGGATGAAAGCTACATCACACACGTACGTATATGCATTTATATAGATACATTATACATGTTTATACGCATGTGAGATTTATCTTTGGAAATATTGTCGATTTATTTATTAAGGCAAAAATGTTATTGGTTTTATAAACAGACATAAATACGTTTGGTGCATACATCGGTATACGATGTGAAAAATGAAAATTAATCATCCATAGATGGACAAATAATCAGCCGTTTTGCTGTCCTCAATAACGATCATGTCATTCACATTGATTTTTGGGTTGTATTTACTCCCTCCGTTTCATAATAAGTGTCGTTGTAGAGAAAATTTTTCGTCATAAAATAAGTGTCGTTTTCGGTTTTCAAGGCAAAATTTATTAACTTTATTATGTAATTTATTATTCTATTGGTTGAAATATGGTTAGGTGTATGGGTAATTGTGTTTTTATATAGAAAATATGCAAAATTAATTGTTTCCTTAATCCGTGTGCACGAGCTTAGAGTGACACTTATTTTGAAACAGAGGGAGTAGCGTTTACTGGTAATTTTCTGTGTCCCTGGTACTTGCTTGTGTAGAGTTCAGAGTTCTCCGTGGGATTTATTTGTAGAAAAACTGCTATACCTTTTATTTAAAAAAAACACTAAACTCTAGTCGGTTTTAGTACAGTAATTATTAACATCCTTATATTTTCCAAAATGAAAAAATCAAAGAATCAAGAAAAATAGAAGCCAAAATATAATATATTTTTGACTAATTGAACAGTAGCGGAAGATCTAATTTAAATATTTTGACAGATGTACAATGATTTGATATGTACAGTTGGGCTTGGTCAAAAGAGATATATACTATAGTGTGTAGTTTTAAAATAAATATATAAATACAGGACGAAATTTTGGAGACCATAAAAAATTTAGTGTAAAAGTTAATAGTCTATATTAATTTACACTTAAAATTTAGAAATTTTGAACCAATGTTGTGTCCATAACCAACTCTAACAAAATGTGGTAATAAGCATCATACTTTTTATATATATGTTAAGTCAATGATTAATTCTACTTATAGGCTACAAGTGATAGCATATTTTTTGGTCCATTCCAATTTTACAGTTGAAATATATGCATAAAACATGTAGAAATTAGAATGAAGTTTGGAGAAAGCCTATTATTCATAAAGAAAAGAGAAGAGTGTGAGGTGATGGGATTGATCATATGGAAAGACGAAGGGAAGTGACATTACAAAAGAGCGAAGATGTGTGCTTGTGCCTGTGGGGTTTACTAATTTCACAAATCAAGCAAAGCTAGCAGTCTTGTTTCTATCTACTGTTTTTTTCTTTTGAATGACTTTACCTGCTTCATATTTATTTTTCATTTCATTTATTACTTAATAATAGTGATGGTGCAACTCAATAGTTGAATAATGAGAATATATTTTGAAATCGGAGACCCAAGTGTCAATCAGAGTCAGTACAGGTCTGCACAGTGCTACTGATTTAACTAATCTTCTGAACGACAACGCCGCTCCAGACATTATATATAAATTATAATACACGTTATACCAGTCTAAAACTCCATGGGAAATACCATTTTACGCGAGGGTCATTCCAAAAGTATGTATTATAATATTTGCTGACTGTTCTATTGAATTAGTGTGACATTGTTTAATAAACTATTGTTGCTAATTTAAGTAAATTACTACGGAGATATCAACCCTAATGATTGTTATTCCAATAGCTTAGTAATTTGCTATATACTATTTTTAATTCCCAACCCAGCCTTTCTTAATTAACGGATACTTTGGTTTTTTGCCGCTAAAATGTTTTTGTTCTATAATACTCTCTGTGCCGCCGACAGATTTCAAAATGCTACCTCCCCTATAAAAATGTTTATAAATTTGAGAAAAATGCATTTTGCTTTTAGACGATTGATTTATCATTGTCGCACGATCGATGAAACCATAAAAAGCAAAGTGACAAAATGAAATGACTCCAAAGAGGAGACATAGAAGGTTTTTGTTTTAAAGGTAGAAAAATGAGAGTTCCAAAGCATAAATTACTTTGGCCATTCCAATCTCTTTTTGTTTCTTGTTCTTGTTTGGATAACTGTTTTCGATATTTTCTTTGTTGCAACACTTCCTTGGAACTATGGATATAATTAAATAAAATAATAAGTCCACCAATGTAAAAAAAGGTTTAGAGCCAGTGAAGATAAATTCGTTACAGCACAGAGTTGATAAGGTACAGGCACGTGAAGGCATTTTGGACATATCCAATTATCCATAATCACTTTCTCTGTTTCTATGATCTATTTTGACGTCCATTGCTCCATACCTCATTCATTGTTCTTCCACGACACATGCCTTTGTTCACCATATTATATGAGATCTTGTGTATGAGATTGTGAATATACTATTACTTATATAGTTACGTCGTTAATATATGGATTAATGGTCAACGATATAACATCATTGCAAGAGTTAGACACAGTTTATGTGACCACCTTGTTTACATTTTATACTAGGGATTTAGATCCAGCCTTTTATAGTATAATTTTGATTTTTACAGCATACAAAGTTCATCTAAGAATTAATATTTTATAAGATACCAATACATCAATATTGATATTTGTTATCTAGACAATAATTTAAATAATGCAGAATACCCTTTTTAAAGAGCTGAAGACAAAGATTACCGAGAAAAAGTGAAGATTCCACCGGTCCAATATAGATTTTGGTCCTTACTTTGGATACGAATATGTACACGCAAATAGCAAACACTTCTCATATAACAGTAGATATTTTTTACCAGATATCCTAATATATATTGTTTAATTTGTTCTTGTGATATATATTGTTGGTTAATGATTTAATTTGACTATGTCTATGGACCACAACTCGAATTAAGTTTACACTACTAGTAGATACACCAGATGTCAATTACAATCTATGGTAAAACCTCCACCATAACATTTGTACCACACACTATACCATCACATCATAGCTCTAACTCATGAAAAATGTCATAATTAAAGATTGGCCTATCTACTGTTATATGCATGAAAAGTACGAGGTACTCGATGGGTACGTACATGCTATGAAGCTTACATGGGTTGGGAATTTTGAAAGATGAAGGGTTATTAAATTCGTTGAAAGCTTATAGTATATGGAACAAGAAAACCTGCATACCTCAAGTACTATCACTATAAGATGAAAAATCATCAAGCCTATAATAAAATATGAGTACTTTTTATTTTAGTTAGGCTGAAAGAAATTGGTTTATTTTTTACATAGGGTTTGATTTTGAATTTGTGAAACTAATCCATTTTCATACAATCAGTATAACATATCAGAAACGTTTGTTGGGGTAATTATAATAACGTTTCATTCATAGTAAACCCGTTTGCGTTTGATATAACGGGCCAAATATCATGGTTCAGACGGGCTTTCATGGGCCTGATATAATATAAAAAACAAAAAGTAGGCAAAACGACGTCATTTTGAAGTCAGCGGGAAAAAGAAAGTCGACCGACGACGTCGCCTTGAAGTCAGTTACAGTGATTCCCAATACCATTTGCAAACTTTTTTTAAAAAAACATATAATTTTGCTGGTAATATAAGCAAAGCACGAGTTTTGACGTTGCTCTCTACTCTTTTCTCAATCTCTCTAGATCCAAAGAACTTCTGTTGATCTTATATCTTCACTTTCTTCGCCGCCGGTGATCATAAGTTGTATCTCTCAGTGGTCAAATTTTCGAGGTAAATTTTTATATATTATTTGTTTTTTCTCGAACTTTCTGCAGCTTTTGTTCATATTATTTGAAGAATATATACATGTGATTGTCAATGATTATGAAAATTTTTCGTATACTTTTTAGAGTATAAGTTGAGGTTTTAGATTTGATCGTGATTATGTTCTTCTAAGCTATTCAGTGACCACTATTGATGTTGAATCTTGCTAAAAGTGATTGCTATTGAGTTTTTTTGGGTGTATTTGAATTAGGGTTTGGTTTGGGGTAAAGAAATGGGGAGGTCGTCGCCAAGAAGAGGGCAGAGATCAAAAGGTTTCAAAGTCAAGCACTGTCTTCAGTTTACTCTCTTGCTTGCTGTGGGAATATGGCTGCTTTATCAACTTAAACATTCACATGATGACAAGAAAACTGTGTTTCAAGAGAGTGCTGCAAAGGTTGTTGTTGCTGAGGAGGGTAAAGTGGTGAAGTTTGGAAGGAAAGATCTTAACCCTCGTGTTGAGGAGACTTATAAGAAGAATGAAGAGATTTTGGAGAGGGAGGAGGAGAGAGGCGAGGAGGAAAAGAGTGATGACAAGGAAGCGCAAGGTACAGGTAATGAAGAAAGCGAGGATGAGAGTGAGGGTGGAGGTGAGACGAGTAATGAAGAAGCTAGAGAGAAGAATTACAAGGGTGATGATGCTTCCAGTTAGAGGTGTCAATTGGGCGGGCCGACCATGGGCTAGCCCTGTCCAATTCATTTTGGACGGGCTATGGACGCGCCCAATTCATATATGGTCCAACTGTATAAAAACCCAATTGGTCTATGGTCTAACTGGTCAAAGACCAAATGGACAATGGGTGTCCATGGGCCTCCAAAACACACAATTTCATAATTTTTATTTAAA